TGTGTTTTTGCACAGCCAAAATAAAAGGCATTGTCCCCACGATAGATTACAGAAGTGTTCAAAGGCCCTTTCATTTCTTCTGTGGTGGTTATTTAGCTGGTTGAGTCATAGCTGTGACGGAAATTATAAGCTGCACTGTTTAGCCTGCTGTCAGCTCCTAGTTAAAGAGCTGAAACGTGCTTCAGTTTGTCCGCTGAATGTGGTTCTAATAGAAGCAGAAGTTGTTCTTATCAGATCGCCAAATTCCTGCTGAGTGAAACCGCTTTTACAGCCTGATGTGAGCAAATTTAATAAGCTAATGTTTGAAATCTTGAAATCTGAACCTGTTTTAGTGGAACCAAGCCTCCTGTTGTTTATCGAAAGTCTTGGACTCCTAAACTTGTCTCCTCTTGTTTTTAAGCCAGTGCTCGATACGTTTAAAGAAACTAAACTGCAGGCGTGTGTTTGAAAGGCGAGTCATCAAAATGTTGCACCAAAATGTAGTAAACAAAGAGAAGCAGCAAGAAGTGAAAAGACTTGCAGGAAACATACCTCCTCCATTTAGAAATGTCTCATTAATGCACTGTGTGGTTTCATTTAATCCTGCACCAGATGTGCTGCAGGAAATGAATCACTGCTTAATCAATGAAGTATTAGGTCAGCCACCAATTAACAAAGGATTGATCTCACTGTTGAACTGCAGACTACAGGACGGGGCCATGCTTCACCCAGGTGAACAACCAGATGTGTCAGGGCCAGCTCAGTGGAATCGTCTGCACCAAAACTCTGTGCTGCGCTACCATTGGCCGAGCGTGGGGCCACCCCTGCGAGCAGTGTCCTGCCCAGCCCCACCCCTGCAGACGAGGCTTCATACCCAACATCCGCACTGGAGCCTGCCAAGGTCAGCCCTCGCTCTCTCTTCTTGTATACACACCTGGCAGAACGTCTTCACCGCTTCATGTTAACAGAGATGAAAAAGGACGCACGTAATAACACACGCACGCACACACAGCACGATAAACATCCAAACCATCACTTTATCCATCATCGTCTCAGCTGTACAACATCCTCAAACTAGTGATAACAGCACACAGCGTGTTTACATGTACACAGGAGTCCGGATACGAGCTTAATTTAGCTGAAGCTGTCCGAGCGGTGACGCCGCACGCGTAACGGGCCACGAACGGTAAAGGACAGGAGTCGACCGACACGTAGTTTGGTTGTTTT